ATTTATAATTTAATACTCCACCATTCTACTTTATTAATCAAGTTTTTTATTTAAAATGTTTAAATTTAGTTATTTATTTTTTCATGTTATTTAATGTATTTATTCATATTTTACTCTCATATTAAAAGATAATTACAATATATAATAAATAAGAAATCTTATTTAAATAATATTTAATTAAAAATAAATATAAAATTTTATTCATAAATGATTACATTTTTATTTTATTAATAAAAAATTAAGTCTATTAAAAATAAAAGTGCAAAAAAATTTTCTTATCTATACTCTAATTATGCAATTATTGCATCTTCTTAATATTAATTAACATTAAAAAAATAAAAATTAATCTTTATTTAAGTAATTAACTAGCATTAAAAAAAATAAAAATTAACCTTTATTTAAGTAATTGGCTGTTATTGATGATAAAATTAATAATAATTATTATATTTTTTAATATTAATTATATAACCTAAAAAAGATACAATAATTATACCATTAACAGTTCAACACCATCAATACCCTTCTTATGTTTGTTTGCATGCACAAATGAAATCTTCAAAGAAGAGGTGTACTGTTATAGTAAAAGAGACCTAATAAAAATTGCCATAAACATAAATCATTGCAATAATAATACAAAATCATAACACAAAGACAAAATTTACAGGAACCGAGTTTAGATGAATGTGAAGTAATCTATGTGGGATCGCTATCTCTGTCTGTTATAATCCTTTTGAGGGCTTGGAAATTTGTACGTATTTGGGGGGTATCGGGCACACCCCACAATCGGACCAGATTTGATGTGCTGGCCTTGTTTGTGCTCGAGACCCATGAATTGTAAGGTTTCAGAGAAACAGCGACCTCACCTCACCCAATTAACTGGTTCCAGATCGGAACAATACAAGTCATGTTCAGCTTTTTCTAATGTGGTGCCCATCTCATTTACTTGTGGGGTTTTTGTGTTCGTCATTAGTCTGGCTAGTTTGCTGTGATAAAAAGAAAATTTCCTAACCCCACCACACGAACACTATCTCTTCTCTATCCATCCATTTTTTTGGTCTAAATCTAGTGAATTAGGCATCTTGATCTCCGGTAATAAATTTATATTATGTTTAGATGCCTTATCAATCATCTTAAAGTTTGAATTGACTTTTAAATTTAATTTGAAATCATCAAGTAACAGTTGTTAAAACTGCTTCTTCTTTTTTTTTTTAACATTGGAAGACAACTATGAAGGTTTTAAAAAAATAAAATAAAATGATCACCCGAAGGTAAAACAAATCAAATGCATTTTACAATTAAAAAGACAAATCTTGACCAAAACATGAAAAATGCATTAGCTAGGTGGCAGTTGAGGAGAGGCTTGTTAATATCCATTTCCGGGATTAAGGACAGCTTAAAGCTAAATTCAGTTATTATAGAGAAAATTCTAATGTAGCACCATAATATCTCTAACGTAACATCACAACTTAAATAGCATCCCAACATGAAACCTCAACATGGGATGTAAAGGTTTTGTAATATCATTTTTTTATTAGTTTGGATATGTCTTATGCACTCAACAGAGGCAACCACCCCTCTAAACTATTGAAAGATATTTAATATGGTACAAATATTTTTCTTTTCAAAAATAACAAAACTTTATTTTTGAAGTTTAAATTATAGGAACCATTCAAATATAAAAAAAAATGTTTATGACTTAACTAAATAAATGAATCATTCGTAACTAATTCTTATAAAGATATAATAATTTTATCTAGATAAGTACAAATATAAAAAGATTGTCTGGATTTAGTTATATTAATTATAACTTATATAAACTTTTACGTTGATTATATATAATTTTTGTTTGTATAATTAATATTCTATTAAACCAATAGTTTTTTTTTTTTTTAACATTTTGACACGGGACGGGTTCGAAACCCGCTCAGGGGAGGGGGAAATGCACCTAGCAAGCTGGCTAATGCCAGTGGGCCTCTAGGCACAAGTGCTATTAAACCAATAGTTAAATCTATTCTATTCATGTAAATTATATGTTTCAAATTTAAAATTAATTTGATATGTGTAACTTTACAAAGAAAATAAATTATATTTTTATAATATTTATTTAATAATATTAAATTGTATACTATTAAAAAATAGTTAAATATATCTAATTAATTTAAAATTTTGATGTGGATGATATAAATAGTATATGTATAAAATTAATGACTAATTTAAAAATTAATATAAATTATACTATATAAATTGACCAATAACTTAAAAGAAAATTTTAAATTTTACCCCTTTAACTTAGATTCCTAACTTTGTCCCGGATACTAGGTCACATAAACATTCCCATGATACAATCAATTTCTCCCAATTACAACCTTACTGCTGGA